CACGTGGAGCGGCGGCGACGTCTGCTGGCTGGGCGGGGCAGCGGGCATTGCAGGAACAGGTCTTCAGTTATCCAGATCTTCACGTCCAGTCATTTACGTTTGCTTATAGTGGGGCAGTTTCTAACGAACATTTAAGTGTTTAGTCAAGGTTTTGTATTTCAGTAAAGTCATATTTGTGGATCTTTTCATCTGAAGTCTCAACACTATCTTTTTTTCCTTGCTTTGGGGTCTTGGCGCTATGATACTAGGAGAGACAAGGTGGTGGGCCTAGTGGTGTCTCACATCCCTGGGTTTGACTCTGTGATTGCTCAGAGACAGTCTCTTGTGCTGTAAGCTTGGGTTAATGATAGCAGTACCTGTGCACGGATCTTTTTGAGGGCCTGGTGAGTACTTTCTGGGGACCAGGAAAGGCCACTTTCTCATTCCTGGGAGGAGGTGGTCAGTGTGGTCGGAGGTGTGTGGCAGGTGAGCACTGTACAAATAGGTCATTTTTTTTGGGGGGGGTACCAGGGTTTGAACTTGGGTCCTTGAGCTTGCGAGGCAGGCCACCGAACCGCTGAGCTCAATCCCCGGCCCCAAATAGGTCATTTTTAAACAAACAGTTTTGGATACTGGCAAAAGTAAAAGCAGATGCCCTGGAGTTAAGGGGGTTGTGGGGTTATGGGAGTTGGCAGGTGGCAGGGCAGCAGCAAAGGAGTAGAAGAAGAGAGTATCACAAAGGAAGGTGGGGACCATGATAGTGGATGGACTGGGGAAAGCTGAGGGAGGATGTAAGGGCTTCGAGAAGGTGGGAGGAGAGGACCCAAGAGGAAGGTGCACCGATCAAGTGACGAGTAGGAGCCCAAGCCACAGTGCCTGTCAGGAGGCTGGAGGGCGGGGGTTGCTCACCTGTGGGAGCCTGTGTAGCACCTGTTGGCCAGAGGTGGGTGCGCCTGAGAGCTGGCAAGGGCTGGAAAGGAGCTGCCCTGTGGGTTATTAAGGAAGGTAGAAGGGTTCTAAGGCTCATGCTTGTGTTGGGCATAGTAATTAAGCTTTATGTTATTTTCCTTTTAGTAATAATGGACAAATACCAGGAGCAGCCTCACTTGTTGGACCCACACCTTGGTAAGCATCGCAGCTGATGATTTTGATAGTTCATTTACACATGACCCATGAATGCCTTATGCACCATGCTGCCACCTGTCTGAGGGCTGCCAGCAGAAGGTGTCAGGATGAACAAGGTATGGTGGCACACACCTGTAGTCTCAGCACTCTGGAAGGCTTAGGGAGGATTGAAAGGTCAGCCTATCTGGGGCCACTTAGTGACTTGATAAAACCCTGTCTCAAAATAAAAAAAGGGGGTGTGGAGGTAGCTTAGTTCAAAGGTCCTGGGTTCAATTCTTAGTACTGGAAAAAAAAAAGTTAAGATTGAGTGTCCAAAGTGCCACCTGTTATTTACCTGCAGGCCCAGTCAGTTCGTTTTAGAACTGGTGGTGGCATGAAGTTAGGTGTTATTCTAGGCTGTGCACAGATGTGTCTGAGCTCCTTGCTTCCCTTTAAGGAGCACATCTCTTCTTGTATGTGTGTTATATCCAGTTGTGTCTCTGGTAGTAATCACACAGGATCACGTGCTTCACAGAGATCACCATGTCACCCTCAGTGGCTCAGGAGGGCTTTTGTCCTTTCTATAGATGGAGACACCAAGGCTTAGCTTTACTACTTTAGTATAAAGGGAGTGATTTCTTTTATTTCTCGTTATTTATATTTGACCTATTTCTTACTGATTAAAAATAATTATTTTTGTAAGTACTGAGCTAACAAGTTCTCCTGGCAGTAAACTTGGGAAGGAACATGGTAGCCACAGTCACCAGGTTGAGAGCCAGTACCCGGGTAGGCATGTGTGCTGACACCTGGCTCCACTGCACAGGTTCTGAGCGGCTCCATGCCTGCACATCCTCACTGTGAACCGGCTGACAGCTCTGTGTGCCTTGTGGGATGTGGAGCCTGTGTGTGAGGCACTAAGGGTCCCTTCTGGCACGTGCACATGTGTGGCTGGTGTTCATATGCAGAGTTTTCCTTTTGCTTCTGGTTACAGGATTGTCCGTGAGCCTTTTGAATTCACTTGTCTCAGGCAGAGCAAGATCTGTTTCAGTATTTAAAATTATTTTTCCATGATTTTATTTTTAGTAGTACACGTTTGTAGTACAAAATGATTACATTTTTCATGGGGAGTTGGTACACGTATATAAACATTTTAGTTCTTTTTATGTTCAATTCTCCCTCCTCCTGGTTTTTGGTCTTGGTTGGTTGCTCATCTTCCCTGTCTGTGTTGTGGATTGTGTATTCATATCTTTCACTCTTCTTTGGTTGTTTTTTTGAGATAGTGTCTTGCTGGTAGTTCAGGCTGGCCTTGAACTTGGAGTGACCCTCCTGCCTTAGCCTCCTCAGTGCTGGGGTCATAGGTGTGCACCACCATGCTTGGCCCACTCTTCATATCTTAGCCTTGCTCTAAATGAATTTTAAAAGGAGTTGACTTTATTAATCCTTGCAGTAGCCTCATAGTCCCCGTGGGAAGGTCAGTTATTTCCCACCATATTTTACAGTTTGGGGAGCTAAAAGCACAGCTCTGAGAGGTTGAGTAACTTTCCCCAGGTCACACAGCCAGTGGGTGAGCAGATAAGATTTAAATCCTGAGGGTCCGCTATTGAAGGTGGGGTCTGGGAGGGCCAGCTGCAGGGAGGTGGTAGCTGATGCCTGGCTGAGAGGCTGGCTGGTGCTGAGGTTAGCAGGGCAGTGGTGCCCCAGGCCTCATCTCTTGGTGGGTCTTGTGTTCTTGGGTCACTTCTCAAGTGATGAGGGGTGCTGCTTTCATGGTGCAAGTGAGACCCCTGGCCTGGGAGTGCTGTCTTTTCTCTTTCCAGGCCTGTCTGTTGGGCACCATGGAATGGAGCACTTCTGTGCTGCCCATGGTGCTGAGTAATTGTCATCCTTCATCTTCTGGCAGACAGATCCCTTTTAGGAAAAGGACATGCTAATCGTGATGCTGTCGTTTGTCCTGTGTCATGCATTTTACATGCTTTTGGTACTGTGTATAGTGTATGTTGTGTACTGATTTGGTTTGTCAGGACTGTCAGTCTCCTCCTCTGTGTTTGGCCTTTGGTAGTGATGCTGAGGAAGGTTAATTTTTCCTTTTGGGTTATGTGAGCCTCATTCATCAAATGATCCTGCAGCTCCTTCCTCTGTCTAAAATACTATTTTTCAGGGCCAGGGATTTAGCTCAGTGGTTCTGCTGCCTGTGAAGTCCCGAATTCAATCCCTGCCCCCCCCATGCTATTTTCAATCTGCATTCAGTAGTACTCAAATATATTACTTTTGGTTTTTGTCATTTTGTTTTTGTTAGCTGCTTGGTCTTCTGACCCTTTCAGTAATGTAGATGAACTTCAGAATTATTTTATGACAAGTCTTGTTGGAGTTCTGTTATGTGCACAGATTTATGTGAGGGAGATTCAATTTTCCTGCTTAAGAATGGAGTGTTACTCTATTCAAATCATTTGAGTCCCTCAGTAAAGTTTGGTTATTTTCTTTAGGTAGTTCCTGGAAAATGTAAAAGTTTATAGTATTTCTAGGTGTATTTCATCTTGTGTTGCTCATTTATCTTTTACTTATTTATTTCATAAGTCTTTACCAAGTTGATTATTAATCAGCACAGATTAAGAGCTAGCTAAAAAATGTAAAACAGAAAATTATACTAAATCAAAATACACTTTTAAATACATTGTCTGTTGGATTACAATAACATTTTTCTTTCTTTTCCTATTATTTGTCTTTTATTTTGTACTTTATACATTGAGCTTCTCATGTAAGAGAACCATGTTATAGTTAAGCTTGTGTGTCTGATTTGTTTCACTTAACATTGTAGTCTCAAGGTGCATCGATTTTCCTACAAATGACTCAGAGTATTTATGGCAGAGTAGTATTTCATTGTGTGTAAATACCACATTTTCTTTCTTTCTTTTTTTTTTCTGGTACCAAGGATTGAACTCAGGACTGTGCTCGTGAGGCAGGCGTGGTGCCACTGAGCTAAATCCCTGGCTTGCCACATTTGCTTTATTCATTTATCTGTTGATAGGCACATAGGCTGCTTCCAAGATTTAGCCATTTTGTTTTGTGCTACTGTAAATATAGGTATGCATGTGAGCCGGGCATGGTGGCACATGCCTGTAATCCCAGCACTTGGGAGGCTGAGGCAGGAGGATCGCTATGAGTTCGAGACCAGCCTGGGCTACGTAGTGAGTTCCAGGTCAGTCTCAACTACATAGTGAGACCCTGTCTCAAAAAATTA